TTAACTACACTGGACTGCATGATGTAAAATCAAGTGGTTAGATGAGTTCTTTAACAGTCCTTTCCTACTTCCATGTAAAGCCATTATTCTATTAGTGTTCTTTGATTAACATGTATCTGCATTTCTTGTTTGAAAAGGTACCTATTCCTAGGTTTCCAATGACTGACAAATTTTAAGTCACCACCACCAGGAAAAACATCAAATACAGTGGGGACTTGGCTTCTTATGAACTCCTAAGAGCTTTATGCCATCATCGACAGTTCTGAAGGAAGAGAAATAAAGCAATGTTTTTTGCTTTTGTTTTTGTTTTCATCTTTTGGTATAAAACTAGTTGGTTGTTTTGTTGCTTTTTTACAATTTTTGCAAACAAGCTCTTTGGATCCATCTTGATTTAACAATAATATATAATAGTAATCTTAGATGTTTGTAAAAGAGTGAGACTTCCTTCATTTATTTAAACATGCACATTTTATAATTAGCCCATAACTAGAAAGCAACAAGTATAAAAGTGTATGAAATTCAATTTTCTAGTACTTTGGGAGGAATTATACTATTGCTTTTCATATGAGCAGTTTGTACCTATTTTTACAAATACATTTGTGAAATATTTTGTTGAAGTTTTCCCATGTGTTCTAGGCATAGTTTTATATAGGTGTTACTTTGTTGGACAAAGAGAAACAGTTTCCTGGACTTCTGAGCTTTAGTTTACCCTCATGAAAAACTATCAATATTAGAACCAGGATAAACAAAACTCTTCCTGAAAGATAAAGCCTTATTTTGATCAATGACTTCCTAGTTTTTTGGAAGATGAATCATCTATAAGTTAGCTGAGCCATCCCCAAAGCCATCAAACACCCAGTTTGTCCCTTCATATTTCACTGTCACATCCATTCATGTACATTCTTTTATCTTCTCTTGACGTCAGTAGTTATTTACTCCACAGCTACTCTATTGCTCTACATCTTTCCACTAAACATATGGAGTAATAGTGCATGGAAATCCTAGTAATCCACTCAGTGAGAAGTTCATAATTCATAATGTGTACTGTTTTAAAACATAATGGGCAGTGTGAAGTGGTACAGTGTGTCTCCTTCTGACCATCACTTTACTCTCCTTGTTCCTGCCTCAGGAGTCTCTCCTTTTTTTTGCCTGCCACTGCTTTTCTCTATCTTTCCAACATGTTTTTATTCCTTTTTTTGTATGCCTTCTGTTCTTCCTGTTCTTCAAAACATTCTATTGACTCTGACAGCACCACTTTCTTTATGCACCACGTAGTTCCAAATATTTTGAATGTAGACACCACATTTTACAAAAATTAAATATTATCAGTAAAATAAAACACACACTATAAATGAAAGCAATCTTCAGACAAATAAGTTTATACAGCTTAGGATCTTGTTCTTCAAAAAATGTAACTCTCACCTACCATTTCAACATCATTAAATTAGTAGTAATGTGATTTCTAAATCTGTCAATATCATTCAGAGATTAATTCTTAATTGGATTGTGGTTGATTTTATAGGCTGAAATGTGGTATATATTTTATCCTACTTTAAAACTATGAGCTTGGCAGTGGTGACACATGCCTTTAATCCCAAAGGCAGAGCCAGGCGAATCTCTGTGAGTTCAAGGCCAGCCTGGTCTACAGAACGAGATCCAGGACAGACACCAAAACTACACAGAGAAACCCTGTCTCAAAAAACCAAAAAAAAAAAAAACTATGAAATATTTCACCATAAGCACTAAAAATAATTCTTCCACTTCAGTATTATTTTTGCAATGATATAGATGAGTTTAGTAAGTCACCAACCACAGTCTTTTCAGTCCAGTACAGAGCACTGCCAAGAAACCTTTCAAGGATTATTTTATTAACTCTATAATACCTCTCAGGTTCAATTCTTCTCCCCAAAAATTCACCCTCCTATCCTGGAAGACTGAGTGATCTACATATGGACTAGAAGTCTAGTGACAAAAGTATGAATGTACTAGTATGGCAAAAAAAAAAATGGTTTTACAATGTATATAGTACATTACCAAAAGACTTGAATGATTATTAGAATTTTTATATAGGCTAATGTAGGAAACAATGAAAAATTTGAGAGTTAACCAAAATTATTGCAAATCATAGAAATGGGAAAGGAATCCAAGTGATTATTCTCTGGATTCTTACCAAAGTATTATCTCCTCCTGTCCTGTTGTATTTTAACGCTTCTGATTATTTGACTATTCATTGTATCTTTCTTCTTTTAATTGTTTATTTCATCAATTGTTGAACATGGTTAAAACCAATAGACATGCTAACATGGATGTGGGAAAACCTCAATCTTACACAAAGAATTACAATAACTAAGGAATGCTAAGAGAGGGAAATAGCCTTCCCCAGGGAAAAGCACACCAATTGGTTATCCATTACCAAATGATCATCCCTGAAAACATATATACAAATCCCATTATAGAGACTGAGCACATTTTACCTTTCTTGTTATAACACAACATTTACACTACTCTTGCTCACACTGAGCCTAATGAGGGCACCAGAATATCTGTTTTTCCTTATGGTTACTGTATTACCAAAATTCATTCAGAATGGCCAACCCTAGTCAACACAAAGCAGAAAGCATGCTTTGTCACTACCTGGGTGGAATGCCTTAGGAAGTTTCTGTCTTAGGATATGCTAAAGAAATTTAAACAGAGCTCTTTACTGATTTCACTGTACCTACTCCCTAATTAATATCATTTATGACATGAAAATGTGCAATAAAATTATTAACATTCTATATTTTATCAGTTATGAGTCAATACTGGTTTTCAAAAATCTTTATAAACCTGTCATTCCCTTAAATGGCTAGACCATTTGACATTTGAGGGGAAAACAGATATGCATATCATATGTGCGTTGAAAGATTCCTTCAAATTCAAAAACGGAATTAGAAGCTCAGACAAGTGAAAAACTATCTTTGTAAAAATGATGGACTATGCAACTTACTTCCCTCAGTATTTTAAAGAAAAATCTTAATGTTGTTTTAAGTTCCATCATCAGTTTCTATTGCATTATTATGGACAACTGTGGTGATATATTGTGCACCCCAATAAAATTTATTTGGGGATCAGAGGACAGAGCCAGCCATTAGATTAGACATGGAGGCCAGACAGTAGTGGTACACACCCTTAATCCTATCACTCCAGAGACAGATATCCAGATCTCTGTGAGTTCAAGGCCACACTGGGAACAGAACCAGGCATGGTAGCACACACCTTTAATCCCAACAGTTGAGATCTTATGCCTTTGCTTGGGAAACACACCCACCCGCCTTTAATCCTAGGAAGTAAGATGGCAGGGCAGAAAAAGTATAGAAGGCATGAGGAAACAGGAAATCACTCTCTTGAGGTTGAGGATTTCATAGAGGTAAGAATGTGGCTGGCTTGCTCTGCTTCTCTGATATTTCAGCTTTCACCCCAATATCTGGCTCTGGTTTTTTGTTATTATTAATAAAACCTTTTTAGATTTTTGTTACAGACAACTATGTATATTCAATATACTTATACCTAATGGTTCTTATTAAAATTGTTTTAAAGCCCTATCATGGTCATTAAATTGTGATGAGTATTTGTGGCTGAAGATAGAATCTATACAAGTAGAATTCCAGAAGGGGACATACTTCTCCAAAAGGTATGGAGATAAAATTTTTGCTATATGATTTCAAATTTACTTTAAAGGTTAAACCCTTTCTTCCCTTTTGTGATGTATAAATAAACCTGTTTCACTGATATATAATTTGTATTGACCAGGATTGGTCTGAACCATTATTCCAACTAAACTTATCAATAAAAAATCAGGAGTCAAATATTGGGGTAAGAACCTGAAAGACCAGAGAACAGGAAGCAGCTGTCAGGTGCTTCCCACCTCTGCAGTTCCTCTGACCAAAATCGCTGAGATCTTCTCTCAGCCCCACCTTACTACTTCCTGTCTCCTCTCTCTACAGTCCTCCAGACCTCTATGGTCAGCTAGTGACTAGCTCCACCCTCTGACTCCAAGCAAGCTTTGTTTGTCAGAACACAATCAAAATATCACATAACATTGGCTACTCTGAATGAATTTGTAATAATAATAAATTTTGCTAATTATAATAATTTTTTCAAATTTAACAAGAAAATAATATTTTATCATATTTCATTGATTTCTAAGATACAAAGAGATAGATACACAGTTACATTTCCCAGTTTTCTATATCGCAGTTCACTTTACCTGCCTGGTTTTTACTATCATCCTGTGTAGTTTAATCATTTTAACATTATAAGGAAATCAGTCTTATTCTCTCTAGAACACTGAAATTCAAGAACAAGATAACTTATGTGTTAGTTTTAGCAGAGTCAAAAGCATGTGTAGAAAATAAATTTCATTTCTTTTTTTTTCAGTACAGAGGATCAAACCCCACACATGCCAAGAAAGCATTATGTCATTGAGTCACTTTTTCAGCTGACACATATAATAAGTTTTTAAGTGTCTTTACCCACATTACAATCTAATTCATGATAGTCACTTAAATTCATTATTTTAGATTACAGTTTTAAAATTATCTCTAACTTTTGAAAACCATGTTAATGGTCTTACAGTCTTTTGATTCTCTGGAATACTGTATTCACTTACGGTTGTTCTCAATATCTTTTTTAGTTCACCTGAATTTCTTGAATTCATTTAATGTATTTTATCTAACTTTATAAATTATCTCATAAATGTATGTTTTAATAATTAATATAATTTAATGTAATGCATCATTCTGAGAGGAACTCTTTCCAACCTCCATAAATCTCTTGTTCTCTGGTTCCTAGTATTTTGTAAATAGTCTACACGAACTAAAAAAATACCCTACTGTTGAGCTATATCTCTGGCACAGTGATGGAATTAAAATTACTAACATTTAATCCTGTTTTTGATGCCTTTAAATTTAATTCATCTTATCCTTCAGTTTTTTTCAGGATTTTCCTTGCTTTCTGATCCAATGGGCCAAGTGAATACTTCTATTATACCTGAATTTGTTTTGCTGGGACTTGCACAAACATTTGGAATGCAGTTCTTCTTTTGCTTCTTCTTCTCCTTATTTTATGTGGGGATTATTTTTGGAAACCTTTTCATTGTGTTCACAGTGATTTTTGATTCTCGCTTACACTTTCCCATGTATATTCTACTGGCCAACTTGTCACTCATCGACTTGGGCCTTTCATCTACAACAGTTCCTAGGACAATATCTGATCTTTTAACTGGTTGTAAAGTCATTTCCTTCCACAGCTGCATGATACAAATGTTCTTCATTCATGTGATGGGTGGAGTTGAGATGGTGTTGCTCATAGCCATGGCATATGACAGGTACACAGCCATCTGTAAGCCTCTTCACTATCTGACAATTATGAACCCCAGAATGTGCATGATTTTGGTAATAGCTGCTTGGACCATAGGCATGATTCATGCCATATCTCAGTTTATTTTTGTCATAAATTTACCCTTCTGTGGCCCCTATAATGTAGGAAGCTTTTATTGTGATTTTCCAAGGGTCATTAAACTTGCATGCATGGACACTTACAAACTAGAATTTGTGGTCACTGCTAACAGTGGTTTCATATCTATGTGTACCTTCTTTTTCTTGATTGTATCATACATTTTTATCCTGGTCACTGTCCGGCAACATTCTTCAACTGATTTATCCAAAGCATTCTTCACCTTATCAGCTCATATCACTGTAGTGGTTTTGTTTTTTACACCATGCATGTTTCTTTATGTGTGGCCTTTCCCAACTAAGTCACTGGATAATTTCTTTGCTATTGTTGACTTTGTTGTCACTCCTGTCTTAAATCCTGCTATCTATACTTTAAGGAATAAAGATATGAAGTTGGCCATCAAAAGGCTAAGTAGACAGGTTTTAAGTTCTAGGGAAGTTACACAGTAAATTTTATTAACAAAAGCATAGAATAGTGCTATGCACTATCAAGACGTCCATGAAATCTATAGAATAAAAACACTTTTATTATTTTTTTAGAAATTCTTGGAGTATATCTATCAAAGAATGTCACTTCAAATGGAAGTTACAATAAGTTCTGCTGGTTACAAAATAAAAGAGTTATATGTTTTTCCAATTAACTAAATGTTTTATTGTTTTTAAGTTTTTGCGTTGTATTGTATTTAAGTATTTTCATTGTATTTAAGCTATTATAATCGACAATTATTCCACAACCTTTCATATTATTTTTATATAAATGTGCAATATAACTATCAGCATTTTTATGCAGATAAGAATACTAGTTATTAGTATATATTTCTTATGGAAATTATGTGGATCCAATGGATAAAAGGTGGGTTTATATAAACCAACAATTATGGAAAATGAAATGAAAATAATTCTTAAATGTGCTTTAAGTTAGATAAGTAGGAAAATAAAAACTATTAAAAAGTATGTGTTCTGTCTTGCCTGGTTTTCAATGATAATGTGCAATGTTCTTTTAGACATAGACATATACTTTGAATCATGCAATACCTGTGTATATCCCTCTTTAAATAGCATAACTTTGCTTCCATGGTAGTCTTCCTCAAAGAATTTCATGATTGATATAAAAATAATTGTACAATTTAAATTATCTCAGCTGACTTATTTTCTAAAGTTATACTACCAAGATCTCAAAACATTATTTAATGTGCCAGCTCCCAAGCTACTGTGCTTATGAAGAAGAATCTCCTGGCTCCTTCAAACAATACCTGGAATGACAAGTCTGAATGTGTTTATCAGAAACAATTTTAGAAACTTAATTGTTTATCTCTGCTCATTCTAATGTCTTGATGATAATTAAAACTGAAAAATAAGCTGATAAGAACTGAGACATCTAATATTAGTCAAGGAAATTTTTGATAAATTCTTCAGATACTGGCTACCAATGTCTTAAACTATACCCTCTTTATAAAATTGAAATATTATCATTCATTGCCTGTTATTCTGTCTAAATTTTAATTTTGCAATATCACTTTATTTGGTTTACCATGGTTTTTTTTTTTGTTTTGCAATCACAGTTAGATTGAGTGAGATAATAAAATGATCCCGTGATCAAGAAATTGTGACAATGTTCCTTAACTCAGGAAAGGTTCATGTTTCCTCCAATAGTCAAGGGAAAACCTGTGACACTATAAGAGTTAGTCTCCCCAGTCACCCTCAGGCTGTTTCTGGATTTTTCATGGGCTTCTGGTTACTTCATGAATGATTTATCATTAGCCAAGCAGTTTACTCAGAAGAACAATTCACATAAAAACCACTCTCCCAGAAATGTTAATGATTTGACAATATGTATGAGAGTGACTATGTACTATTCTTTCTCTTAAAATTGATGTCAACACTTCTAATTGTGAAACAGGTAAGCAGAATGACAAAACTGAAATTCATCAGTAGAAGCAGCTACAGTGTAGAATTTTATTGATAGTTAAATGCATTTGTCAGTAGAAATATTCACTTATACAGGATTCAGTTATGATACTTTTCAGGAAAACAAATAGAAAATCCTGCCATATGTAACTGAGTTAACATGAGTAATATTGAAAAGGATAACTCTCATTATCAGTGTTTTAGATGCAATAATTATTGACTCCTACACCTAATTTTACTGAGTTAATGTATTCTTTCCTCTCTATGCAGTGGTTTTATACAGTTCTTATTTCCCAAAAGCCTAATATTTTCTTGTTCCATGTCTTTCATTTTTTTAATAATCCTAGGGAAACCTAGTTAGGTACACTTTTTTCCACACAGAAGCTGCAAACTCTATTGGTACAACTTCGGAAATTCTGAGAACTATTGGTTGGGTTGTACCATTTTGAAAACACAAAAATTAAAGCCCAAGAATTTTTCTTACTACATCCAGGATCAAGCAGTAGATCTGTGCTTAAACCCAAAGCCCTGATCCCCATCACTATGATTATAAATATATTTAAAAATCAAGGTAAAAGATGCTTATGAAAAGTTCAATATTTTAATGATTGAATTCAAAGTGAATATGCTGAAAGAATTTCTATTCAATCATGCTTGGTCCTTGGTTATTATAATAAAAACAATGTATAAGATGCAGAACTCCTTCAGTGAATAAATAGAATTATTATATTCTCCAAAACTTTTTGAGTCTTTTTTAGAATCTCAAATGAACTTTGAAGAGATTGTGCTGGTAAAAGGACCCTAGATGAAGATTCCATTTTATTATTCTCCTCTTAGCAACATAATTCTGAAGATGTGATCCATATTGAACCACAGGATTCATTTTTTTTCTTAAAAGTAGCACTGTTAAGTTCTTATTTTCTACTGTGGTAGATTTTGGTTTTCTGTACATGAGAACCCTTGAACTATCTTCAGCCATGGCATAGTTCTCATGGAGATACGATTTGGAATTTTTCATTCAATATCAGTGAAACAAGATATATTAACATTTTGAAGCAAAAAAAGCACTCAAAACAACTTTAATTTGCATAGTATGATTGGAAAGAAAACTTTAATGAACTATCACACCATAACCTATCTCACAACAGAAATCCTACACTTGAGTACTGGCTGTGCTAGGATGATTATATTTTTCTTGGGTTAAGAAGACATGAACTAAAAGAAGTCCCATGAGTTATTTTATGATTAAAACTGTCCTTCTGTCTGGAAAAATAGAGCCAGTAAGTTTGAATATGACTTTGTATACAGTAATTTGATGCTTAACTAGGCAGGGGTAAGGAAAGAGGTTTGGAAAATGGAGAGATTCATATCAATTTTAAGCACAATGGGTTGTGATATAATAAATCTCCATAACCAATAGCAGCATTCTCCATCAGATTTGGCACAGACAACCCTCTAGGCCCTTATGTCTTTCAGCGGACAGTATTCATCAAGGTCCGCCTCTGTATTTTGCGTTATATGTCTGCTGTGTCCCCTATTCTGTTACTTATCATCAGTTCTGTTTCCTAGTCAGGAAATTATTCCTTGTTTGTTTGTTGTTTGTTTGTTTTTGTTTTTTGAGACATGGTTACTCTGTGTAGTCCTGGTTGTCCTGGAACTCACTCTGTAGATTAGGCTGAACTTGAACTCAGAGATCCACCTGCTTCTGTGTCTAGGATGCTAGGATAAAGGCATGTGCCTCCACTGGCCCTTCGTATACTTCATCTGCTACTTCATTCACTAGAAAACTACTTCAAACAATATTTATTTTCTTTTCTAGAAACATGATTAAAATGTTTCCTCCAAGCCATGAAAAGCAGTCATTGTCCAGTCCCTAACTTGCTACCGAGCAAATTGCAAGATTGTCCCAACAATGCCTCTATACATTCAGGAAATGTCCACTTTCCATTGGTTCCTTCTGCATAGTCATATTCTTAAAAGTAATTGGAATGCTGCATATTGTCCCCTTGTGTTCATTATAATTAGTATCAGAATTAAACATGTTACATTGTTCCTGCTTACTCAGAATAAAAATACTTGAAACATTTGAAAAAATCTTTAATCCGTGCCTCCTGTTAATTTCTTTTACGACTCTAGTAACAGCTATAAATTATTAGGTACATGCCTCATGTTATCAACTGGAAAACAGTTTTTCATAGTTATACCTAATCCCTCCTGCACTGTTCATCCAATGTGGCCACAAATTTCAGTGGTGTCTTCAAGGTCATTCAGGTACATATTCAACTGTGCAGACTTGCAGCTCACAAACTCACTTCTCAAGCAATAGAGAGGACTGCTGGATGGGCTCACTTGAAAGATTCCCCTTTTCAGCTCACACAACCACAATTTGTAGTTATTACCTACAGTTGGGCTTCAAACAGTTTCTTAGCTTTACTTCAAATCTCTCCCTCTTAAAAACACATTAAGGCTAGAGTCAACAAACTAAATATTTTTTCCCCAATGCTCCATATTCATGACAAAAAAAAAATCACATTTACTAATTCCAGAATCTGCCTCCAAATTAATCTTCCATTAAACTTCTTCGCCTTATTACTCACAAAAGATTTACTGAATTTTCCGAAAGTTACCTTAGAGATCCCCAATAGGAATCTTCCATCCTCTCACTTTTAAATCAAACATTTTTCCTTATTTTTGTCCTGTAGTGTAGTCTAGCACTATAGAGACCTGGGAGCCTTGGCTACCTGAAGAACAAGACAACCAAGGATGCACTGTAGGAAAAATTATGAGTTCTGATTTCTACTTTGGGAGCTCTTGTGAAATAGCTTATACCAAGTCCAAAATCAGTGAGCCCGGAGTAGAATTTGCATATAACAACTCTGACTTCTTTTCATTGTCTTTTCCAAGGCAAGTGCAGAAACTCTCTTCTGGAATGAATCATCAAAGGAAACAAATCATTCTGTGGTGACTGAATTTATTTTCATTGGACTCTCCGATTCTTTGGAACTTAGAATCTTTCTGTTTGCATTCTTTTTTGTTTTCTATATTGGAATTGTGTTTGGCAACCTTCTTATTGTCATAACTGTGACTTCTGATTCCCACCTCCACTCACCTATGTACTTCCTATTAGCCAACCTATCGTTCATAGATCTGTCTCTGTCCTCTGTCACAGCTCCCAAGATGATTGCTGACTTTTTCAGCAAACACAAAGTCATCTCTGTCAAGGGCTGTTTTGCACAGATATTTCTCCTTCACTTCTTTGGGGGAAGTGAGATGGTGATCCTCATAGCCATGGCCTTTGACAGATATGTAGCAATTTGTAAGCCTCTACGCTACACTACAATTATGTGTGGCAATGTATGTGTTGGCATTGTGGCTGCTGCATGGGGAGTCGGCTTCCTACACTCAGTGAATCAATTAGCCTTTACAGTGAACTTACCCTTTTGTGGTCCCAATAAGGTTGACAGCTTTTATTGTGACCTTCCTAGAGTAATCAAACTTGCCTGTGCAGACACATACAGGTTAGACATCATGGTCGTTGCCAA